CCAGCACCCCAGCTTTGCGGGGGTTGGGGTGATGGAGGACCCCCAAAAGGCTTTACCGGGGTGGCTTCAGCATCCGGTGTCCCCAGATTTCACCCTGGGTTGGGGGTCCTGCGTGTCCCAAGCCAGGGACCCCATGGGGGGAAGCATGGTGCTGGTGGGGGGCCGGGCCCCCCAACCTTTGGTGTGTGCAGCACCCATACCTCTGCCCCAGCCATAGCTGACACCAATGCTGCAGGGAAACTGAGGCACGGGGCTGCAGGGGGGGGCTCTGTCCCCAGGGAGACACTACAGGGCTGGGGAGGGGGCACCCTAGGAAGCGGGTGGGTGCCCCCCGCTGCAGAGCAGCCCCTGCAGGGTGACAGCACTGGAGGTGAAGACGGAGCAGCCCTGGGAAGCGTGTGTATAAGTGTGTACAGAAATAAATATGTCTACTAAAACCAGGCTGCCAGCTGCATGGGGTGGGCTGGCGAGGTCACTGTGTCCCCCATGGGGTCAGGGGATGGGGACATGGGGTATATCCTACACAGCATCTCTGTGCCAGCTGTGGGTGTCACACATACATGCCACAGGGTGATGCAGCCCCCCCAGCCCAGGCTGATGGCTCATTAATTAATTATCTGGCTAATTAAGCCCAAGCTCCAGGTGGGCTGTGCCGCCTCCAGCCCAGCTTTGCTCCCTGCTATGTCTGTTGTTCCCATACTGGAGCCTCAAACCCTCGCCATGGGGTCCCCAGGTGAGTGTGGCTCAGGTCTTGTGTCCCCTGCACCCCCAAAGGTTTCTCTCACCTCCCCACAGCTCATCCCAGTGCTTCCCAGTACAGCACAGGTGGGCAATGGGTTGTTCCCTTCCCTCTCACTCTGTTTACCAGGCTTTGCATTTTAGGGACTGAGTCTGGGCTCCCTCATCTTCCACTTGGGGCCAGCTCCCCCTTTGCCAGATCTCTGTAACCCAGTGTCTCCTCCCTCCAGGCTCTGTTTTGTTTCTCAGTCTGGTTTCCCTGGAGCTGGGGGGTGGTTGCAGCTCCCCTGGGGCACAGGGGGTTGTGCAAGGCTGGGGCTGCCAAGAGGGGCAGGGGCTAAAACCATCCTCCCCACCTCCATGCCAGCCCAGCTCTGGGTGCCAACGGTGCAGACAGGTCCCCATAAATTGGGCAAGAGCCAGATTTGTGCCAACTGCTGCAAATCTGGGGTAAAGGAGCCCCTGTGTGCCCCCCTCTCCTTGTGGGTTGCCAGGAGGAGGGCTCAGTTGATGCTAAGGGGTAGGGGTCAGGCCCTGGGCTGATGATGATGAGGAGGAGGAGGATGAAGGCAGCAGCTCCCTTGGGGAGCGCTTGCAACAGGTCCCCCCTTGCACACTACGGTGCCAAGCGGGACAAGGGGCTGAGGTTCCCCCCCAATGCAAAAATGAGATGAGACGCAACTGAAGACAGCAGAGCTTTACTTAAATAAATATATTTACAGAAATAGAAGATATTCCAGAGAAAAGCTGGCCACACACAGCCAGCACAGCGCATGTTGACCTAGCAGGGTGCTGGGACCCTCAGGGACAGGGGAGGGGGTGACAGAGGACAGGAGAGGGGTCCCCTCACTGCAGCATCTTCCTGCAGGGCACAGGGGGACGGCCCTGGGGCAGGAGGTCCTGCAGGGCCGGGGTGGCCTTGGCCTCTTTGGGCTCCTCAGTGGCATCCAGGAGCTGCTGCATGTAGCAGGAGGTGCCCAGCAGGACGTGGCCAGTGGCCTGCATAGTGAAAAGCGTCCACCGCAGGGCTTCCCTGCATGGGGAGAAGTAGGGGTGAGCAAGGGGGGTTTGGGGGGCTGTACCCCCACCCCTGAAGCCTTTTGCATCCCCCCTAGCACTCACTTCATAAGCCGCTTGGCCCCGTAGCACTGCAGGTCGTAGGACATGCTGTAGGTGCCATAGAGGGTGGCTTTGACATTAAGGCATCCCAGGTCCCGTGGGTTGGTCTTGTAGAGATCAAAGGTGACGCAGGCGACGTCAATCCTCCGAGGGGGCTTACGGGACAGGCTCAGCTGGTAGCCAGGAGTCTGGGGGGAGAGCAGCATCGGGGTTGCCCACCCTCCTGGTCCCACCTCACCCAGCATATCTCAGGTACCTCCCAGCCCAGCATCATCGTCCCACTGATACAGGGTGTGATGTAGATGGGACAAACACAGCTCCTGTCCCTCCAGGGGTGCACTCACCTTGGAGGCAGCCCAGGTCTGCCCCTTGCTGAGGGCCATCAGCACCGTGCCCTCCTCCAGCGTCCGAAAGAAAGCCTCCGTCTCCACCGCTGTGCCGTCCTCCTCCAGCACCAGCGAGATGGGACCCGGGACCAGCAGGGCACTCTGAGCCTGCAATGGGTGCTGGGAGTGAGGGGGGCAGCCACCTAGGCAGACAGACAGCCCCCCCAACAGACAGAAAGCCCCCTACACACCTGGTTCAGCCGCCCAGCCCGGCTGTGGGCCATGATGCCCGTG